TTTTCCTACACTTTTTCATGTTTCCTGAAAATCAGCTGTTTGATTAAGTCAATCCTTTATACTCCCACTCTGGTGCCCCTGTGGAGGGTGGACCAAGACACAGAACTTCCATGTGTGACGCCATGACAACAGCAACCACATCTCTCCATCTATTCATCAAGTTCACAGCAGCTGGTTGTTACTATGTCAACCATAGGATCTACACACACACACACACGCTCGCACACATGCTCACACACACACACACACACACACACGCACACGCACACGCACACATTGCACAATAACTGTATTGCATGCATACAGGCTGGACATAGAGACTTGCTACATTTTCATCCATAGTCCACAGCAGGTTTACAGTGTGCAAAGAATTAATGAATAGAATGTCCTAGATAGCACCCATAACCACAAAGAGACACAATATATACAACACACAATTGTCAAATAAACATGTTTTCCATTTCCAAATGGCAACGAGAACAAAAACTCCTCTTCTGACTCCGATCAGAAGTTTGTATGTGTTTCTCCTTTAACCTCTATGGCGGATAGATAACTATGGCCTACGCAGGTGGACAAACCCAAGACAAAATATCCGGCCCTCACAGTCACAAGGACTCCATTGCGTATCCATGTTATGACTCTAATATGTTCTGATTGCGACTTGAAGGAAACTGAATAAACTTCCAGGAGCTCTGGTGCGCAACGATCCCGTTGTGGTTAATTTTCCACAAATACTGTATATGAACAAATTCTCACTCCCGAGCGTCAAATAAGGTTTCTGTTGTTTATGCGATATCCTGCATGTGTCATCAGAGTCTTTTTCTTGCTTGTACTACAGTGGCACATTCTGTCTTCCTTTTTCTTTTTGGACTATTTACTATGTGAACATGACTAAAATAGTTATCCAGTATCCGTATAATAAGAAACAGACTAAAAATGGTGTAAAAAAGGGCGTCAATATATATATATATATATATATATATATATATATATATATATGTATATATATTTTTTGTAATTTTCCCATGGAATTTGTAAAAATCAGTCCATGTTAGAAGGAGATGCCAATATTACACACGATATCTCACAATATGACAATGACAAATAATGTCCTTATTTGACATTAGGGAGTGACAATGTGTTGCTGTTGACTTTTAGTGTTGCCCAATGTAGATAGATAAATGTTAGCAGAGAAAGACACTCAGCTCTCAGCTCAAAGATTAGATTGTGTTAGATGAGATTCAACTTCATTGTCATAACAATGTCAGAACAAGGCAACATAATGCAGTTTAGCATCCAACCAGTAGTGCAATAGTGCAAATATGGGATAAAGCATCACAAAGTGACTGGCAGGGCTCTTTCTTAACTGTGCTAAAGAAGATGAAGACAGCATGTTGTGGTCTGATTCATTCACATAACTCTTCCAGTCACGACAAACAAAATGTAGGATTTGTGGTTAAGTTGTAAATGTCATCTCATATATAAATAGTAAGAAATGCAATTTCAGAATGTCCACTGACTGTCACTTCTGCCATAATTTACATTATAGGTACCCTATCTTTAAATCTTCCAAATCATGCATTTTTCCTTGTGCGACCTCGAGGCCCGGCATGGAGGTCCTGAGAAAGTGACAGTTTGTAGACGGCTTCATCACTGGTGCAGATGGCCGGGGGAGAGGCTAGAGCAGGGGGGAGGTGGTGGGACCCTTTCACAGCCCTGCAATGGCCTGTGTCCAGCAGACTGTCCGGCCAAACAGCCCCCTCTCTGGGTGTCTGGATGTCTGGCCCTGGTCCTGATCTATAGGCAGACCTTTGGGGCTCTGATTGATGATGTTTTCTTGGAAAGCTGGTTCAATGATTTTGCACACAAATATTGTAGAAAATCTTAAGAGCGATGTTGCACTGGTCCACATTCATCTTTTGTGTTCTTGTGTTAATTTTGGCTCTGAAACCTGATCTGGAGAATATTTAACATTGGCTTGAGAAACATGTTTATATTTTCAACAAAAAATCCCTATTTCCACCCGCTCTACTCTACTCTACTTGTCGCTACTCTACCCTGATTGCGAGTGTTTCCTGTTTAACCGGTACTAGAGGTACTTTTTCAGTACTTGCTTGGCCCTGGTTCCATCCAGGCTGAGCTGGTCTAACTACTGGACGCGATGGTTACAGGGAATGTCCACGGATAATTTTTTTTGTGGGTAGGTAGCCAGACTATGGTACAAGAAAGTAATGGAAACACAACCAGGTAAAGTAGAGTAGTGTAGAGGAAAAAACGGCAATAAGGGTTGGTGGAAATGGGGCTAAAGAGAAGTGAAAGCAATCATAAACATGTTTGTATTTTCAATTTACAGTTAAAAACCACATAGGAGTATTTGTACAAAATAACACACTGCAACAGACCAGCAAAATTACACAAAAACATGGCCAATAAGTTAAAAAAAAACTTGTTTCTATTAATTTTTTCATATCGTGTAACAAAAACCCTGGTTTTCTATAATTGATTATTATAGTGAATCAGAACATTGAACCTTCTTGTAATCAATGTTAGTGAATGAATGAAATTTCAATGATTTTAAAATAAACTTGAGAATATACAGTGCATTTTTTTCTGTATTGGGGATTGCACCACCTTAACACGTTGACTGTTAGCGGTGTAACATTAAATAACTGAACTTTTTCAACAAAATGACGCTGAAACAAAATATATTCCCTTCTCTCTAACCTTGAAATTGCAATTACCTTACATCAGCATTGGGATTGGGAAATACTTTGCAACCTCTCACTTTGTACTTTCTTCCAACACTTTTAATCTCAGCCTGTCAAAGGCACACTGCAATATGGGTTTAAAGACAGGTAGAACTACTCCTCTCAAATGTAGTTTGGAGAATTATATTTGACATTTTACAAAAATTTGGACAAATATGAATCAATGTCTACCGTGGGAACCACTGTTGGTAGTGGGTTCGATTTCCCCACCTACTCCCACTGATGTCTACTGCCATTGTGTCCTTGGAGAAGACACTAAAAGGGCGTTCACACCGGACCATACGTTGCATGTCTGCTGTGTGGCAGACGCGATGTGGCAGAGTGGGTACGCCGACTTGCCACATGCGGCATCAGCATTGTTCAACTTTTTTCGCTGCACGCACTAACATGGTCGCTAACGTGGTCACAAGGACACAAGCCGGTCAGAGCGGGAAGAAGACACTCGAAAATAACCATAACAGGATCTTAAACAGGACAACCCCAGGTTTAAACAGTGCTTGTAAGTTCTTATTCTCCCATGACTGTGAACAAGTGCTGCTAACCAGTACTTCACATACAGAAGTACCAGTTCATAATATAATACATCCATGGCTCAGCTCCGTGAGGCGGGATACTGCTGTTATCTGATGTCTATGGAGAAACACTCGTGGAGGAGATCTTTACACAAAAAGTCACCAGGTTAAACAGGCTAGCATTAAAGTCCGCCCACCACTTACGGCATGCGTTTTGCAGCATTGCAGGGCAGTATGATATAAGAAACTCATAAGGCTGACGCAAGACGTACTGACGGTGGTCTGAACACACCTTTAACCCGACTCTACCCTGACCTATTACAATGGGGTCACATTATAAGAGCCTATAAGAGAACCACTTTGGTTTCGGCAAAGTTGTTCAGGGTCCCTAAACGCAGATTGGAAAACTTTTTTGACTGGACTCAAATAAATTTACTCAAATGAATTGATTCAAGAGGTCCAAACGTTTACTATTTACAAGTTACAGACCAAAAGCCTTTTTTACCCTTCATCCTTGATTCACTATATATTTTCTACTTTATATTATTTCACATTCAAAAACATGTATTGACAAAGTAAAGAGTCTCATGATGAATGTTAATGGCCCAAAAAAATGCGTAGTATTTCTTTTTTAACAAAGTCAACACAAAAAGCGAGTGGGGGATCATTGCCATTTGTCATCAGCAAAATGTACTTCACAAACGGTGCAAAAAGTTTCCAAAATGTTTCAACCTTCTCCCAAGATTACACATTCAACAAAAATCATTTGCATTCTCTAAGGTTTTTGAGGGTCTGTCTGGCCACGTGGATTGGAATGGTGGGAAGAGTATTCTCAGGAGGAGGGGGCATGTGGACGTGGGAGATTGGCTAACGCTACAATCACGGCCACAGTGGATTTAACTGTGTCGTTAACGGCTGAGAACTTGGATAGAACTCAAAAGAATTAAATCTTTCAACTGAAGGCGCTGTTTGTTCCAATGTAAAGATTAAATTATTCACAATGGTTGCATTACATTACATTGTTGGTTTTGACACGTTTACTGTTGATTTTGGACTTGAGGAAGGCTTTTTAGTGGAGGTTAGAAAAGTGTTGTACAGTTGTCCCTCGCACTATAACACAGTTCACCATATGTATATACTCCAACAACATCAGATAACCACTTGTATATCATGACAGTTATCTTTAATCAAAGTCTGAAGAAAACTGTTGTGGCTTATTCCCGGACACCTCAGTCCTGCCCCTGCCCCTCAGCATGGTGTCCTCTGCAGCTCTATTTTACAGTTTGTGCACACAAGATAAATTAAAGCCACAAGCGCCGATAACGGCCCTCACCACTCGCAACCGCCTATGGGCGCCAGTCCAATAATTGGCATACAGCATATTGGCCGAGGATTTCATAACCTTATCAGACCAGGGATATGCACTAAAAAGCTCTTTTAAAGGATTCAGTGTGCCCCTAGTGGTCAACCATGAGACGTGCAACAACAGATATAGATATATTCTAATTTTCAGATTTTCACCAGTAAATGACCGAATAAAACTGATTTGGAATACCATTATTACTATTTTTTTTTCTAAGCGGCAAACAAACTTGTGCCCAACTCTTGGAGAGTGGCCAGAGGGAAGCGTCCAAATCATCTCCTCTGCAGCAGGTGTCTCAGGCAGATAACTCCAATGAGCAGGACCTAGATGCATGTTAACAAGGCTCCAATGAGCAGCATGCTAATGCCTGCACTGGTCAGCAGTGGTCAGCGGCAGAAGAGTGGGTATCCCAGACCGGAGACTCCTGAGGCTGGTGTGGTAGCATGTACGTTATCAGACACTGGACATTATCTGAGGCCAAAGGCAGTGTTGTCCTCACATACAATTTGAACATAGCCCCAGGTGAGAGAGAGTTTTGTCAAGTGTTGCCTTATATTGGAGACAGTTACAAATGTGCATCCTTTACCGATAATTATTGAGATTTAACTTAATTACTGTAGAAGACACAATCACAGCTCTTAATGAAAGACACAAAATAATGGAAAAGTGTTGAATGCAACATTTGATTTTCCCCGCTACTTAAAACTTTGAGTTTCCGATACTCATAAGGAATGACAAACTAATATCCCATCAGCTTTATTAATGCTATTAATGGAATTTTGTGACATATTAAAAGACACAATCAATTTCTAGAAACAAAATTGCTTCTAAAATAGGTTCTGAGTTTTCTCTAATAATCCCTGAGGACTCTCTGAGAATCTGTGGGGACCTGTAGCCACAATGGAGTTTATATGCATGTTTTTATTACATGACAATATTGGGTCGTATCTGCCATTTTCTTACATTTTCATAAACAATTCGTATCCATATCTAGTACAATTGTTATATGGTCTTGTCTGGAACACAGTCCACCTTGCAGCTGCTCCGACCAAAACTTGGCTCTCGGTGAGTTTCAACGGCCTGCGGACCAAGCCTCAAAACGCCATAATTATATCCTAGTGTTACTCCTACAACATTTGGATTGAAAAATTCAGTGAAAACATTGGAAAGACTAAAGGGCACTTAGGGCTCCATTTCCTTGGGTTTCAAGTGGACGTGGAGCTAAAAAAGTTCACCCCGATATATCTCATGGTTCTGTAGTGCAGGGCTGACTTCGGGCATTCTTGCCTAATGATAGCTCTGCAGTGCAAAGTGGAATGAAAATGGATTGTTGTTGATGGACGCGCGATCAGAGGCCAGCGGTGGAGAGAACACGAGACCCGACATTTGGAACAGATGTACAGAGAGTTCTGCACTGTTTTACATAGGTCACTTTAATCACTGGACATGGGCTTTGAGTGGACCAGTCTCACAAAACCACGGAGTCCCATTTCTCTCCATCGTGCAGACCATCAGCGTGTCGTATAGTGCTGACAGAGAGTGTAATTGTAATAACCTTATGTTTTATGATATTCCCAACGAGAGCTTTACGAGGCTTGTTAAGCTGCTATTGTTGCAGGTGCCATGTCGGAGCTGCCAGTTCTCAAGCTTCTCTGGTTGTAAATCAATGTTTTTTGTTTTTTTATTTCAGGGAAAATTTGTCGATCCACATTAAAGTTTGAACAGATTCAAACTTCCATCCACCCTTTTTCTTCCGCTTGATCTATTGTCGGGTGGTGGGGTCATCAGTCTGAGCAGAGACGCTCAGACTTCCCTTTTCATGGACACTTCTTCCAGCTCATCTGGGGGAATGCTGGGACATTACCAGGCCAGCATAGAGGCAAAGGGCCCGTCCCAATTAAAGTGCCCTCCAATGGGGGATTGCACTCATTGATATTCTCCCTAAGAAATGGGACACCCATGGATCTAGGGGACCATCTATTACAGTAGTTTGAAAATTGACGTAGCAAACGTGTTCCACGTCACAAGCAACATTGTGTCTGATTTCACCACAGATAAGATAGACTTTATGAAACCAAGTATTTATTAAAGTGAGATGTTTTTAGTTATAATTAAATAATTAGGTACAGGTAGCTA